TTTTTCTTTTTCTTTTTCTTTTTCTTTTTCTTCCTTGGGATAAGGTAGGGAAGAGTGGCCCTCCTTCTTAAAACTCTTGGAATAAGAGGGAGTGGAGTCTTAATTTCTCGTAAGTTGGTGCTCCGCTCTTGAGCAAAGTTGAACAAGTTCATTCAAATCTCTATAAGGTAAAAGTTCAACTTTGTCTCTTATCTCAAGGTTAAGACGACTTTGAAATCTTGAGATGGTAGTCCTCTCTTCTTCCCTTATCCTAGCCCTCATCATTAGCAACTCCATAGATTGCCTATATTCTTCCACACTAGAGGACCATTGTTTCAATCTTTGAAGTTTATCCATAAGCTCTCGGTTATAGTATGGAGGAATATGCCTCCTTCTTAAGGCACTAAGGAGCTCATTTCAATATTGGATTGGGGGCTCATGATTTATTCTTCTTTCTTTTTCTAGGGAGGTCCACCAATACATGGCATGCCCTTGGAAGCTAAGGGTTGCCAAAGAAACCTTCCTCTCTTCACTCACTCCATGGCAAGAGAACAATTGTTCCACTTTCATTTCCCAATCTAAGTAATTTTCAACATTATCTTTGCCATGAAATGGGGAAGAGTGATGTTGGGTTCCTTATTGTAAGACTCCCTATGTCTATGTGGTCTTGGGGGTCTTTGATAGTAATCATCATTGTGATGACTACTATAGAAGTTATCACTTGGAGGTTGGGTATGATGCCCTTCCTCCTCATGAACACTTGCAGGTATTTTAACCCCCTTACCCTTTGAAGCCTTAGGTTGGGGAAATCTAGGGTTTGATCCACTAGCTTCCCCTCCCACAACTAGCCTAGCAAGTAGTTGTTTTATTTCCTCATTATTTCTAGCATTTTCTTTTTCTCTTTTTCTAAGATTTTCCTCTCTTTTTATATTTTCTTCTTCTTTTCTTCTTAGGTACTCTTTCAATTCCCTAAGTTCTTCCTTAACACTAGACCTATACTACAAGAGTTATGATCATGTACACTAGAATGATCTCTCATCTTTGATCAAAAAGGTTTTCACAAATTGGTTTTCAAAAAGGTTGGTAAAAGGTTTTCACAAAGAATGAGTGATAAAAAGGTTTTCATAAAAGGTTTTCAAAGGTGTAAGATTGGTATGCAAAGGCCTAAGTGTACAAAGTGAACTATCAAGGGAGGTGGACTACTAAGAATCACTTAAAAACCAAGCCTTTTCAAGTAGAAATCACTAAGCCTTTTCAAACTTTTCTCACAAAAACAATTTTCACAAGACTAAGGTGTGTGTGCACGGACCCTTAGTAGGCAAATGTAGCCTTCTAATGCAACAAATAGGTAAAAATAAAGTCCTAAGCAATTATACTACTAAAGCTATAAAACATGCAAAGGAAAGCACTTAAAGCATATGCTAGTCGGTTTTCCTAGGTGAAGGTTTTCAAATCACCTTCAACTACTTGAACTAACACCAAAAATGAAGAGGTTTAAAAATGGCCAATTACAAACCAAAATAAAGAAACAAAGCCCAAATACAAGAGGCCAAAAAAATTGAGCAAAAGGAACAAGTAAGAAAGAAATTGTTGAATCTCCAAGTCTTCAAATCTCCACCCCTTCACAATGAACCCCCAAGGTTAGCCTTTCAAAGGTGTTTGCACTCTTTAATTTGGTGTGATCCTCCAAAGCTCCTTGAACTCAAATCGGACAACCCCTCCACTCAATCCACCAAGAAAGTGTGTGGTGTTTAAAAACTTTCCTCACCTAGGTCAAGAAGAAAACACAACCCAAGAGTACAAGAGGCCAAGGGAGAAAACTAAAAAGGCACAATTAAAAAGACTAAACTCAAGTGGATTTGTTGAGACAAACTTAAGAGTAGAAAGAAAGACTCAAAAACTAAAATTAAGGCACATTAACAAAAGGCAAGCACACAAAAGAGTAAGTCCTAGAATGGCACTAGAATAGAATTGGTACATTAAGAAAGGTAAGTACATAAGAGAATAAGTCCTAGAATAGCACTATAATGGAATTTATCAAATAGGCTTAAAAGAAAAATGATGCACTTAACATGTTTGATTTATTGTTTCATACATCCATACACTAGTTTGTTGAAAGGTCCAAGAATAACTCCATTGCTAAGGTAGGAAAAAAATTTTCCCAAAGTCCACAAGTCTAGCAAGGTTCCCTTTTTCTTGTTTTTGTTTCTTTTGTTCTTTTTGTGCTTGTCCAAGTCTCGGTTTTGATGTTCAAAGTCCAGCCACTTTTCTCTTTTTTTTTGAATTTTTTTTTTATACTATAATCCTTCCATTGCTTGGGTTTTACACTTGTGTCCAACAAATGGTTTAGCAATAATTTTAGGAGTATTCTTTATAATATTTTGTGATGGCTTAATGAGACAACAACTTGAGTGAATTTTAAAATTTTTAGTATGCAAATGTCCAGCAGTAAAATGTGCACATAAAATTCACTCTCATGCTCAAAACATCAAACAATATATAGGCATACAAGTGAACTAGGAGATACTTCAAAGTTGGCCAAAAATTTTAAGGCAAAGATGTGCAAAGAATGTAATCACACATGATATTTTAGGAATGTAGAACATGCTATAACTAATTAGCATGCATGATTGACTCTCTAAGGCACATATAAGTCACGGCCAATTCATTAAACACATGGCATGCATGTCATATTTTTCTCATTTCAATGGTTAAGCATAAAAACTTGGAATTTTTTTAAGGTAGTTCAAAAGAGACAAGCTTATGACAAAATCGGATGGATTAAAAAAATAAAAAGCATTAATATATCATGCAGCCCAAAATTTCCAGCAACTCAAATTTTTAAAGAAAAAGGCAAGAACCTAAATAAGAAAGCCTAAAATGCCAAGATGATTCACAAGGAAGATATGGTATGAATCAACACAAGAAAGGAGATTTATGGATCATCAAATTATGGAAATTATGATGATTCATTTAAGCACACTTAGAAGACATTCAAGGAAGACATGACATGATCGAAAATATTTAGAGACAAAGAAAGTGTTACCCTTGAAGAACAAAGGCTCTAGATACCACATGATGGCATCCTTACTTGCATGAACATGAGGTGATGAGCAAGGAAGAGGACGCCTACTCCAAGGATCAAGTTCTTCAAAGGTGGTGCATGATTTTAGGGAGGATTATAATAGAATGGACGAAAATGGAAGTTGGGTAGAAGGTGTTTGATGAAAGGCTTGAGGAGGATACTCTAGAGTTGGCTCACTTCATGATGATGAAGGCCACTTCTAGGGTTGTTTCTCTCAAGGTGGAGATGGGAGGGTGGTGGCTGAAAATAGCCAAGGGGACTAAAGAAAATATTAAGGCAAAGAAATGCTCTCTCAATATTATAATTTCCAAAGTATTTACAAGGTGTGGTGCATTGGGTATTTATAGGAATGGGAGGCATCTAGGGTTGCATTTAGGGTGCCTTGGCCGAAATTCACCTTGCCAAATGCACACCAAATGAAACCTAAATTAACCCTAGATGCAACTTGGTGACCAAGGATGAAATCTTTGGGTTTAGTTAGGCTACATTTAGGTGCATGATAAGATCATGCAACCTTTGCCCTTCACTTGGGCCTAAGTCTTTTTAAGACCAAAAATAGGTCCAAAGCTACCAAAAATGCGTCACCTCCTAATTAAAACCCTAGCCCAAAAATTAAAATCCTAATTATCTAAAGCACCCCATAATACAAGGGTAAAATAGGAAATACAAAGAAAAATAAGTTCTATGACTAAGATACCCCAAAATACAAGGGTAAAATTAGAAATACAAATAAAATAAGTTCTATGACTAAAATACCCCTAAAGTATAAGGATAAAATTGGAATAAAGCAATAAATTTCTATATCACCCAAATTGGGCCTAGGAGATGGATCCATACAAGATATCTCTTTTATCTTCTTCCATTCTCCTAGCTATGTGATGAGTCTCACATGAAGCACTAAGGATGGTCCTCCTCCATTATATGTTGTGGGAAGTGCCGGAAGCAAAGAGAAGGTAATTAATTTCAAATTTGGATTAAGCACATTATATTAATTATATGTTGTTTACATGTTACTATTTTATTTACGGCTTGATAATCCAATAAATAATCTTTTCAGTTAGTAGTTGTGACATTATTATTAGCCAGTTTTTAATATTGTTTTTAAAAATGAGACTAAATTGGCCAGTTCAACCAACCTAATTAACCGTGAATTGCTCTGATAATTAGTTCGTTTACTCTAAAGAAAGAATTGGACCATCTATGAACCATTAAAGAATGAAGCTAACTAGCACAACAGCTATAAAATTATAAAAATAAGTGTAGAAAATCAGTTTGATCCGGTCTTTTTTGAATTTATTTAGTTTATTGCTTTTTTCTTTTAATTTAATCTAAAATCATTTTGAGATAAATAAAAACACATTTAAATATTTCACACAAGTATCAATTACTTTGTAAATTATGTTAATGTTTATCTTATAAAACACATAATTTAGTCATTTATATTAAATTTTAATTTTAACATAATTGGTTAGCGTAAATATCAGATACTTTATGCTTATACATTGTGAGGACAATCTATTTAACAAATTTCTGTCCTGTGTAAAAATTCGTAATTTTGCAAACAAAATTAGTCTTTCACCCATAAAGTGAAGCAATACTGATGAAAGGATAAAAATAAAAATAAAAATAGAAAAAGATTAACTTTCAATTTTAAGATCTTAATTTCTCATAATTCATATTATTTTTTAATTTAAAACATAATATCAAAAATATAAATTTAATTACTATACGTTCGATCACAGTCAGGCATCTAAAATTTGAATTAATACTTTCATTGATTTTTAAAAATATTATTTTTTAAAAACCTAATTGTGGTATTAGTTATTTATATGTGTTTGTTATTAGGTACTCTCTTGAAAGATATATTTCGATCTTGTTGGGGGTAAAATGCTGGATGCAGCTCTTGTGAACATGCTAACATGGGAGATAAGTAATATTGATTCATAAATTTTAAATAATTAACGTTATAAAATTAAGAATAAAAGAATACTTACGCCAATTCCAATATCTAGTTTGCATAAAACGTGAAACACTGTGATTCTTTATTGTGTTTAATTCCAATATAAAACGTTTTGCATTGTAAAATCTCAATCTTTGCAATTTACTTATAATTATATATTTTATCATATTCATAATCTACCAGTGAAAGTATAAAAAAGGGAGAGGGAGCTATAGAGAGTGAAAAACAGGGAATTGGGGAAGAGTAAAGGAGGTTTTCTATCACTGATTTGGGGTTAGTTGGGTAAAAGAAAAAGTGACGTAATCTCTAATTCATCATCTTGTAATATATTTTTTAAATGTAATTTGCTTTGTAGATGGGGTGTTGGTAGTTGCTTGCTTCATATTGATCTGTTTTTAATTTGGCACACCAACTGTTTGATCAAATGTTGCATTGAGTTCTACTTAAATTGTACCTCTAATTCAACCTAATGTATACAGCATGCATGGGACTGGTTCTTCTAGCTTATCCGTGATCCTTTAGAAATTGAATAAACACTTGGAAACCACAAATTTATTGACTGTTTATCAAGTACCGAATGTTGTAGATCAAATTGAATTCAAGCTTATTCTCCAATCTCTCTCTGCAGCATTTCAACTCCTTGCTGGAGCTGATAGCCAAGTTTGAAGAAGCTCCATACGACATTCAGTTTGAACGTTGAACAGCATTGGTCAGAGGCTTGGAAATACCACCAAGTAAGAGGCACTATTTAAGTTTTTTTTTTTTTTCTGTTTATCCAAAATTTTGTTTTATAGTTTAAGATTTACCCCCGGTTTTACATATAAGCAAAAGAAAAGTCATGTTACTTGGTATCAAAAATAAACAACTCTCAACTAATTTTACTCTATTTAATGCTACCATCTCCAAAATATCCTTTCATTTAATTAAGATTCTATTTCTAATGATCCTTTTGGTTCTTAATATCAAGTTTTAAGAAAAAGTAATTTAGAAAATTGTTATTTTTTAAATGTGACTAGTGCAATTAAATGATGTTAATTTAACTTTCTTATTTAACATGAATTAGTTTTTTTACTTATATTCTGTTATGTGTTAACTATTTTAGAGTTAGTTGACTTACAATATTAGGTGGAAATTAGTTTGTTAACTGGTTGAACAGGTTATAACAGAATTTGTAAAACTAACTCTTTAAATAGTTAGTTGGTGTTGAAAACAAGAGTTATGAATCATTCTGTAATTTTCCTCTTACACTCTCAATGCAATAAGACTCGAAGTTCTTTCTTTCAATTAGAATTTCCTGGGTTCTTGAGGCCTTCGAACTCCTTGAAGTTCCTGGATTCTCTGTACTGTCTGTTTCTATAGCTTTCATATCAATTGGTATCTTGGGGCACACTTCTTGAAGTCATGGCAGAATCAACCAGATCACAAGCAGCTTTGCGTGAAATGGAAGAAAGGTTGAAACTTGCATTTTGGAGAAACTAGAAGCGAAGATGGTGGAACTCGCGGGTGTGATGCAAAAGACATTACAAGATTCATTGAAAGGGACGTTAACTGAATTGTTACACAAAAATCATCATAATTCTGGTGTGGGCAATCATCTTTCTAGTTTGGGTAATCATCTTCCTAGTTCAGGTAATCATCGTGCTCCTTATGGTTGTGGTACAAGGTTGGCTAGAATTGATTTTCCTAAATTCAATGGTGAAAATGTAAATCAATGGATTTATCAATGTGAGATGTATTTTGCAATTGACCTAACCCCTGAAGAATTCAAAGTGCGATTAGCTGTAGTGCATTTTGAAGGCAAGGCAATGCAATGGCATCATGCCTTTGCAAAGTCCCAAAAGAATGATAATTGGCCAAATTGAACTAAATACGTGAAGCTATTAAGAATTAGATTTGGGAATTTGTGTGAGGATCCTATGGTGGAATTGATGAATTTGAGACAGTGTTCTACTGTTACTTCTTATCATGAAGAATTTGATGCCATCATTAATCAGTTGGAATTATCTGAAGAATATGTACTTAGTTGTTTCTTGGGAGGGTTAAGACATGATATCCAAATGTTAGTGCGGATGTTTCAACCAACTACGGTGATGAAGGCTTTTACCTTGGCAAAGTTGTATGAATCTGCCAACCAAGGAGGAAATTCAGTGAAATCAATTCTGTCTAAGAGCTCTACCAAACCCTTAATTGCTGCAAAACCTGTCACTTTTTCAGAGAATCAGGTGGATTCATCCAAAGGGAAGTTGAGGAGAAATCTAACACCTGCATATATGAATGAGAGGAGGGAAAAGGGACTTTGTTATTTCTGTGATGAACCTTTTATGTATGAACATAGCCTGACACACAAGAAACTTCAGCTACACATGGTGGAGATTGATAAAGAGGAGGATGATGAGACATTACAATCTGAGACAATGGTGAAAGAGACTGATTTTGGGGATCCACATATTTCTGTAAATGCTTTGACTGGGGTGCAAGGGTTCGGAACAATGAGAGTCACAGGAAGCTACAAAAAGAAACCCTTACACATTTTGATTGATAGTGGTAGTACACATAATTTCTTAGATGTTGATATAGCTAAGAAATTAGGGTGTAGGATTCAAGCTATGAAGCCTTTACAAGTAATTGTTGCATATGGTAATAAAATGAAGATTGAAGCAATTGTGAAAGAATTTAGCTGGTTTTTACAACATAATAAATTCCAAGCTGATATGATGTTAATTCCTTTGGGTTGCTGTGATATGGTGCTTAGAATTGAATGGTTGGTGACATTAGGAGACATTGTTTGGAACTTTGACAAATTAAAGATGGAATTTGTAGTAGATGGTAAGTGACATGTGTTAAGGGGATCTTTTCAGCATGGCATCAAAATTATTAAGAACCAATTGATGGAAAAAACTCTCATGAATGGAGTACATCTGTCTATGATACAAGTTTATCAGGATGAAGGACCTTTTCTGCAGAGTTTAACTACTCATGCTCAACAGACAACCACTCCTATAGCAATTTCTGCCTTATTAGCTAAGTTTGAGGATGTATTCGAGGAGCCTACTCAGTTACCTCCTATGGGGGAAGGATTTAATCACAAAATTCCATTGTTACAGGGTGTAAATCCAGTCAATAAGAGACCTTATAGATATGTTGGCAATCAAAAAGACATTATTGACAAACTGGTACAAGACATGCTAAATTATGGTTTTATTCAGAGTAGCTGCAGCCCTTATGCAAGTCCTGTTGTGTTGGTTGGAAAAAAAGATGGGTCATGGCGGCTTTGTGTGGATTATAGAGAGTTGAATAAAGGAACGGTGAAGGACAGATTTCCTATTCCCTTGGTAGAGGATCTCATGGATGAATTAAATGGTGCTATGTTCTTCTCTAAAATTGATCTAAGGTCAAGCTATCATCAAGTCAGAATGGATCCAGCAGATGTTCATAAAACTGTATTGAAGACTCATAGTGGCCATTATGAGTATGTAGTTATGCCATTTGGACTTACAAATGCACCAGCAACCTTCCAAAGCCTAATGAATGCAATTTTCAATAAGTTTCTTAGAAAATTCCTAATGGTTTTTTTTTTTATGATATCTTGGTTTATAGCACCAATGAAGTTGAGCATTTACAGCATTTAGAGAAAGTGTTGTCCGTTATGAGGGAGAATAAATTGTTGGCCAAGAAATCAAAATGCTATTTCGGGGTGGACAAGGTGGAATACTTGGGCCATTTTTTGTCTAGGGAAGGAGTTTCAACTGACCTGGTAAAAATACAAGCAGTTAGGGATTGGCCATTACCTCAAAATGTGAAACAGTTGAGAGGTTTTCTGGGGTTAACTGGGTATTATAGAAGATTTGTGAGATGGTATGGGACTATAGCAAGACCCCTCACTGACATGCTAAAGAAGGATAATTTTGTTTGGACTAACAAGACAAAAGAGTCTTTTCAACAGTTAAAGACAGGATTGATGACTGCACTTGTTTTAGCTCTCCCAGATTTCAACAAAACATTCATGGTTGAGGTGGATGCTTCAGGGTATGGCATTGGTGCTGTGTTAATGCAAGACCATCATCCTTTAGCCTTTATCAGCAGGATCCTAAGTAAACAACAACAGTCTTTATCGACCTATGAGAAAGAATTGATGGCATTGGTATTTGTTGTACAAAAATGGAGGCATTACTTGCTCAATAGACATTTTGTGATAAAAACTGATCATAGAAGCCTCAAATATATATTAGATCAAAGATTATCCACGGCATTCCAACAAAAATGGCTAGTTAAACTCATGGAGTTCGATTTCTCTATAGAATTCAGAAAAGGAAAGGAGAATGTAGTTGCTGATGCATTATCGAGAATAGAACATATTGATTGCCAAGCACTAACTGTCACAAGCTTACAATCTGATTTGTTAGCTAGAATTTTACAATCTTATCAATCAGATCCTGATGTACAGAAATTGATTTCTCAATTACAAGTTGATGCCAATAGTCACAAACATCATTCATGGAATGGTTCCGAGTTGAGAAGGAAAGGAAGGTTGGTAGTTGGAAGGGATATTTAATTAAGACAAGATCTATTATAGTGGATGCATTCTACTGCAACGGGTGGGCATTCAGGCAGACATGCGACTCTACAAAGGATCAAAGCTGTAGTTTTTTGGAAGGGAATGACAAAAGATGTACATGAATTTGTCAAAAAATGTAACATTTGTCAACAAAATAAATATGAAACCACTGCTTATCCAGGGTTATTACAGCCATTACCAATCCCTGGACATGTATGGCAGCACATTTCCATGGATTTTATTGAAGGTTTGCCTCTATCTCAGGGAAAACAATGCATTTTTGTGGTGGTCGATCGGTTGAGTAAAGCTGCTCACTTCATGACTCTTACTCATCCATATACTGCTTGCACTGTAGCTCAAGCTTTCATGGATACAGTTTTCAGATTACATGGATTTCCCGAGTCAATTGTCAGTGATAGGGATCCTATCTTTCTCAATAAATTTTGGCAAGAGTTAATGGCTTGTCAAGGGATTCAATTAAAGCTTTCAAGTGCTTACCATCCACAAACAGATGGACAAATAGAAGTTGTCAACAGATGTTTGGAAACTTATCTGAGGTGTATGTGTTCAAATACTCCACAGCTCTGGCCTAACTGGATATCATTGGCTGAATGGTGGCATAACACCACTTTTCATACAGCAATCAATGCTACACCCTACGAAATTGTCTATGGACAACCACCTCCTGCTTCATTACCCTATTTGCCAGGAGAATCTAATGTGGAACTGCTGGACAGAAGTCTTACTAAGAGGGAGGAAATGTTGAAGGTTTTAAAATTTCATTTGAAAAGAGCTCAAAATAGAATGCAACAGATGGCCAATAAACATAGGATTGATAGACAATTCCAGGTGGGAGATTTAGTCTATTTGAAGCTGCATTCTTATAAACAAATATCTGTTACCAACAGGACAAATGAGAAGCTACCTCCTAAATTCTTTGGTCCATTTCCAGTACTTGAAAAGGTGGGACCAGTAGCTTACAAACTACAGCTTCCAAACACATCACAGATTCATAATGTATTTCATGTATCTCAGTTGAAGAAACATATTGGGGATGCTGTCATTTCAACAGTGTTGCCAAGCCATATTACTGATGCAACCAATGCAAGGGAGCCTGAGGCAATTCTGGACAGAACTTTCGTCAAGAAAAGGGGACAAGCAGTGACAAAAGTTTTAGTAAAATGGAAGAAACAGTGTGTTGAGGATGCTACTTGGGAACTCTATTATGATTTACTTAGAAAATTTCCTCAATTTTTCAATTCATGAGGACAAGAATTATTTTAAGGGAGGGAAATTATTTTAGAGTTAGTTGACTTACAATATTAGGTGGAAATTAGTTTGTTAACTGGTTGAACAGGTTATAACAGAATTTGTAAAACTAACTCTTTAAATAGTTAGTTGGTGTTGAAAACAGGAGTTATGAATCATTCTGTAATTTTCCTCTTACACTCTCAATGCAATAAGACTCAAAGTTCTTTCTTTCAATTAGAATTTCCTGGGTTCTTGAGGTCTTCGAACTCCTTCAAGTTCCTGGATTCTCTGTACTATCTGTTTCTATAGCTTTCATATCATATTCAGAACCGATGGGAGCATAAATCATTAAATTGCCCATATTAATTATTGCTAGGCATGTGTTAATGTTAGTGAGTCACCTTTCCGGATCCCATATTCTTTCATGTCATGAAGTGGTGCAATGGTTGCTAAAGTTTTCTGCTATATACACGAGTCTGAAATTATAGATAGCTAATCACCTTTATGCTAATTTTCGCAGTATGCATGCATGTAGTGGTGCTAATTGTTGTTTTGATTCCAATTATTTTCCATGCATTTCCATTTTCTCCCTATTCTGTTCATCTATAGTATCTGTAATCCCAATCCATATCTTAATTTATAATATTTAGTGGAAAAAGGCTAAGTTGTAGCATCAACTGCGCACAAAAATGCTGGTGTGTTTATGTTACATGTCAATGATTCCATGATAGCATGTTCTCAAACTTAATTGAGTTTGAGTAATTACACTAGTATATTTGCTGCTGTTAGTACTTGTATCCAGAAATTGAGATTTTATTCACATTTGAATGGTGTATGGTGCATCTGTCTTTTAACTTACCTATAAGAACAGTTTCATGTTAATAAACAATTCAATTCAATTCCTTTCGTTAGATTAAAAATAAAATAGACAAAGGAATCATGAACAAAAAAGATAAAAAAGAGTAACGTGTTCACATAAAATGGGTGAATATATTTCTCCTTTCATTATGTTTTGTGTTTCTTAGTCTTTACTTATTTGTTAAACTGCTTTCTGTGCTTCGTTATTCATCTTCTGTTAGATAATAGAAATATGCCGGTTATGAAGCGATATGTGCTGAGATTGTTCATATCATTAAAGTACATTACTGCAAACGTGGTAGATAGAAACAATGGTCGCATTGTAGCAACATCATCCACTGCAGAACACAGCATTAAAGAGTCACTTGAGTGTGGCAGGCCCTGCAATGCAAAAGCAGCTTCTGTTGTTGGGGAGGTGTTGGCAAGACGACTCAAAGTTGAGGGGCTCAACGAAGGACAAGGAAGCGGGATTCATGCTAACATAGGTAAAGAAGTAGAAAAGAAAGGATTCAAGAACCAAACCAAGGTTTGGGCTGTTGTCAATGCTCTTAAGAATAATGGAGTTAAACTCGTCCTTGATGATGAAGATGATGACAAAAATTCTTGGTCTAATTCCTAAGATAGGAATGGAGTAAGTGTTCTGCTAATAGCATCTATGCATTATTTAGTCTCGTTTCTTAGAAGTATGAGTCAGAATGTAATTGAAAATCTTTTAGTTATTGAGGAACATTGCAAATAAATTCTCTAAGAAACTCATCAGGGATATTTTCTAACCGATAGTCAGAAACTAATATATTTTGGGATGTAGAGATCACCGAAATGGATTGTCTCTCTTAACAAAGTTTTCTTCATACGCACTGCTATAGAACCGAGCCCCTATTAGCATTCTTAAGGAACTCAGTTATCTATCAACAGTGTTGGACTTCATTTGTTCTCTAACACACTCTTTGTTGTTAATCAAAATTTATTAGAAATGGTGAAATTGAGTGGATCTCACACTTTATTTAATAAGTCTCACTCATGATTTTATTTTTTTTCAATAAATTTCAAGTGATAGTAGATAGTGTGTTTGTTATAAACCAAAAATAGAAATGGGGAAAGTAATCTATTATTGAAGATGAGTGTATTACATAGATGAAATTTGCAATGCCCACATAGCAGAACTCCTACCCACACTTCTCTTTAGTTGTTTTTTATTCATTTATGAAAGTAAATCGTATGAACTTGTTAGTTATACCAGATGGAAGATGCTATCGTTTTAGGACACAAACTGCTGAAATTTGTAATTTTGACTATCATATCTTGCATTTGACATCTACTTGGTTATTTTGAATTTTGATTACTTTCCATAGCTGTCATCGAACTCACTTAAAAATTATACTCAAACACCAAATGACATACTGTGACTTCAAGTATACACATGGACCTTTCCTTCGGCAAAAGTATATCCAATCATCCTACCTAAGTTCCAATTAATAGATAAGGTAGAGAACAACCAAGTATACAGTGAGTGAAAACAACCAAGTATACAAGTTGGACTAATATATGTGGGCGCATATAAAGAATGGATCAAGTGTGACAGATTCTATAGTTAAAATGTTATATAAACCAATTATCTTGTTACTTTACTATTTTACTTTAGAGGATCTGCACACTACATTTGAATTTGATTTGAAATTGTTCTTAAATGGCAAATAGGGATTCTAGTAATGATATTTGGAGACATTGAGTGTGTACTTTGATAGCTATATTATTTATTTAACTTTCGCTTCCTGATTTTGATGATGGTGGAATTTTTTGTGACGATTGTGGTGTTATATCGATATAATTTTATTTTTTTGGATTGATACAATTTTATTTTTTTTTGATATTGAATGTGTACTGCGATAGCTATAGATACTACTAAATGGAGACAAAATTGGAATTAATTAAATTGGTTGGAGGCATTTTTAATTTTGATTTTGGATGGATTCTCTTTCACCGCTGGGAAGTAAGTAATGAATGCTTGATTCAAGACTGTATAAGTCTAATTTTACATGTTAAATGTAAATGATTGGATATTTCATTTCGTTATTTGAAATTGATGGATAATCATAAAATTATTTTATATATTGATTCGAATTAATGAAATAAAGTATTAAATGATTTTTAAATTTTTTAAAAATTTGCAAATTTAATATGCATTAAAAACTTTAAATTGAACGGTTGGATCGTTAAAATTTGATGTAAAACATGAGTTATTGAACGGAGTAAGTTTAGGTAAACTTACTCCTAGAGTAAAAGGATCCTTCCTCTATCTATATATATATATATGAATGTATATAAAAAAATGTTAGTCGAATACAACCTAAGGAAACTCATCTCAGCTAGTGTTCTTTTTCTCGCGAAAAAAGAAGACAATATTGCATTAGTCTCTCAATTGTTTAGGTTAACTTATCCATTATTTATGCATAGATAAACGTAAATGTTATCAACAAATCGTTAATTTCAGTAGTATTAAAATTGATCTCTTTAAGTAAAATTTTAAATTTAAGTTTTGTGTATAAAAAATATAATTAAAAGAGAAGATTCAAATAAAGATAATAAGATAGATTCTCCAATCGATATTATAACATGGTTTCTAAAAACAAGAAAATGTTACACCATTTTTGCTTAACTAAATAACAAACTATTATCTTTTACATCGCATTTATAGTATGAGAGATGTATAGTTTTTCTTTTTTCTTTTATAAGTGATATATCGTTATTCATATTTTTTTTTAGGTACAATGTGTGACACCCTCTACCCCATATACCATAACACAAATAACAAAAATTGAATAATATAATTTTTTTTTCATAATTAAAATACCAAACATGTTTAAATAGAGGGTACCACGTCCATAATTTAAATAGTATCTTAATTAGCGAAAATTACAAAGAAATAATATAAGTTCTTACTAAATAATTTAAAGGGTCAAAAGTGAAAAAATGCGTTTTTGGAGTGTTAGAAAGTTCTATTTATAGGCATAAGATGTGGCCAGAACGGCCCGTTTCGAATCTGAAACAGCCCGTTCTCAAATCAGAACGGCCCGTTCTGGGATCGTATATTACTCATAAATTCGTGTGTTGGAACGGCTCGTTCTAACCTAGTCTTTTTAGGCCATTTTAGTAGTCTGGAACGGCTCGTTCCAGTTTAAAAACGGTCCATTCTAGGCTACTAAAAATCAAAATATTATAAAAATAATTTTCATAAATATTTATTATCAAAATACTAATAATTATTAAAAACCTTTAAAACATTCTATAAAACCCATTAAAATAACTATAAGAACATAATTTCCACAAATATAAAATAAATAATAATTAACTATTTACCAATAGAAAATTCGGGATGTTACAATTCTCCCCTCCTTTTTGAAATTTTGTCCCTGAAATTTTCCTGCAACAGAAATGGGTAGACTCCTCGCATCTTTGCTTTCTAATTCTCATGTAACACTTTTCTAAATATTTCCCATCAGAAACTAAACTAGTAGAAAATCTCGTGTAACCTTACTACCTCGCTAAAGTACTCCCTATCAATCTCTCGAAAGATTATCTAATATCAACAAGGGTAAGGTGAGCCACCTTGGTGAGTCTATCCACTAACCAAATAAGATCAAATTTCTTAAGCATGCCAAGCAAAACTACAACTAAGTCCATAGATATAAAATCTCACTTCCAAACTAGGACGTCTAAAGACTGTAAAAAAAAGTCCTAAAGACTTCTAGTGTTCCACCTTAGACTTCTAGCATACTACACATGAGTACAAAAATTCCTCTACTCTTCTCTTCATCTTAGGCCAGCACGTTTCTGCTACGTCACTTTGATATATCTTAGTAGCTCTTAAATGAATGTTAAGAATACTCTTATGTCTTCCCTCTAAGATCATCTTCCTAAATTCAAGATTACTAGGCACATAGATCCTATAATTGAACCCCAAAACACCATCAACTTCCACTCGCAAAGGACTATCTATACTCATACCAATCCTTTTCACTTGGTTCACTAAGAAAGAATCTAACTCCTAGGCTTCTCTAATCTTATCCATTAATTCACTAGTCACTTTCAACATACTCAATTCAATGCTCCTAAGGGTGAGCTCACACATCATGCTTAAGTCTCTAAGTTCTTCAATCAAATTCAACCTTAAATCATCAAAGATGGTAGGTGAATGGTCATCCTACTCAAGGCATCTGCCACAATATTAGTTGTTCTTACATGACCCTCTCTAAAGATCAACCACCTAAGCATAAGTTCACTAGGTACACATACTCGATCTCAAAGTTTTACTACTCCATCTATACTTAAGGCAAACTCTTATCCATTATCTTTTCCTATAGCCTCATATCTTGTCACCAAAATGAATCAACTAATTGTGCTCCTCTGATTTTCCTTTGACAATCCACTAGTTACTCGAGTCTTACCTGGTTTCACACTACTAAGAGTAATCCTCACCAGTCAAACTTAAATCCCCAATTTGAACTAAAAGATCCATCTTCTCTAATCATAAGGAAAGGCAAATATAAAGGTTTCCTACTCAAAGCATCAATCATCGCATTGGCTTTACCTAGATAACTACTAAGATTAAAATCTTAGTCCTTAAGAAACTCCAACTATCTCCTTTAGTCAAAAGATATTTAAGGCTCTAACGATCACTAAATACCCAAAGTTTAGAATAATATAGGTAGTGTCTCCAAATCTTAGCGTAAATATAACAACCGATAAATAAAGGTCATGGATAAGGTAATTCCTCTCATGAATTCTCAATTTCCTAGAAGCATAAGCAACTACCATTCTTTCTTGCATCAACACTCCACCCAAACCCATCTTAGAAGCACCACTACGTACCACAAAAGACTTACTAAAATCCGGTAATATTGACACTGGTCAATCTTTCCTTAAGAGTTTGGAAACTACTCTCATACTTGCCATCCCACACAAAGGCAACTCCTCTTCCTCGTCAATCTAGTCTAAGGTAATGTTATCTTAGGAATTTCCTCAATAACTCTCCTATAACAATAAGCTAATCTAAGAAAAATCTTAACGTCACTAATTGACTTCGGTATCACCCACTTAAGCACAACTTCTATCTTAGATAGACTTACGTTATACCTCTGCTAGAAATCACAAAACCTAGAAAAGTCGCCTTATACAATCAAAAATCATACT